TATATGAACAAATACATGAAATTATGTCTCGGTCTCCTCAAGGGACTGGTCCCCGTGGATACCAAACTCCAGACTAGGTATAATACCTAATACAATGTAAATAGTCTTTTTTTAAAAAAAAATTTAAGAATGATTTTTATTTAATTTTATTTATTCATTTATTTATTTAAATTTGACCAGAGAGAAGGAAAGTGAGAAAGCAAGCCACAGGTCCAGGACTTGAACCATAGTGGGCCATGTGGGAGTGTCCAGCACCTTAACCACCACGCCACCTGCTGGTCCTTCCGATGTAAATAGTTGTTATACTGTATTGTTTAGGGAATGATAACAAGAAAAATCACCTGTAAGTCTTCTGAATTGACACGACAGCCGTCTTTTCCCTCTGAACACTGTATATTTTACTTTATTTGCCACAGGGCTCGTGAGCTCACCAGAGAGAGACAGAGACAAAGAGAAAGGGAAAGTGAGAAACCACCACCTGCCTCCTCCCCCTTCCCTGCAGTCTCTTCTCCTCTCCTCTTGGGATTTGGGGCACACATGCACACACACCCCATGTGATTTTTTTTTTTCTAAAAGAGATTTTTTTTTTTTTTTTGTTATGGGGTGTTTGCCAGAGAAACACAGAGAGACAGAGAGGTAAAAAGTGAGAAATCACTTCCCAGGGAAGTTGGCCATGCTGCAATCCCTCCTTCACTCTCCTCCTGGGATCTTGGGCACGCACGCACACGCGCCCGGCATGTTCTAAGTTGCTGATCTGGGATTCGAACCACAGTCGACTACGTGGGAGTCCCTCAACATAATCATTGCACCATCTCACCATCTGCTGGTACTCCTGCATGTGATTTTCAAACTACCGGGTCAGGGACTCAAACTGCCTAGCCGGCATGTGGGATCCAGCACCTTAACCTCCATGCCACCTGCTAGCCCTTGAACACTGTAGTTTTGATCCACAGCTGGCTGGATCTGTGGATGCTGAATCCATAGACCTGCAGAGTTGAATGTATCTTATATATCTAGCCTGTAACAAAATGTACCCCTACACAGCTCTCCTTATATGAAAACCTATATTTGCTTGCCAGCGTTTTGATCGATGAGAGTAGCCACGAGATGGATCTTTCTGCCCTAACCACACCCGTATTACATCACTGTAATGGTTATGGTTTATTTCTGTTATGGTTTCTGTTTACATAAAGTAGAACAGTAACTTGAGGACACTTGGGAAGAAATTTGAATTCAGAATCCTTCCAGAGTTCCACATTTTTTTTTAAAAAAAAGAATTATTTAATGTTATTTATTATTTTTAAAAGGTTTTCAAAATAATTATTTATTTTTATTCAGTATCGCTATTTTTTTATTTGACTAGAGAGAGACAGAGACAGAGAGACAGAAAGCGAGAAATCACCCCCCAGGGGCGATGGCCACGCCGCAATCCCTTCTCCTCCATTCTCCTCTCGGGATCTTGGGCACGCACGCACACGTGCCTGGCGTGAGTTTAAGCCACCGGGTCCGGAACTCGAACTGTGGTTGACTACATGGAGTCCAGTGACATAGCCATTACACCAACTGCTGGTCCCCCACATTTGTTTTCTTAAAATTTGCTGGTGATTAAGGGTGCTGAACTCCCACATGGCCACCTGTGGTTCGAGTCCTGGACCTGGCGGTTTCTTTCTCGCTTTCTCTCTCTGG